ATCAGTGCACCTCTCGCACGGCCGGTTCTACGTGCTTCAACTGCTGCTTGTAAACAGGGAGGAGTAGCACAGAGCGATGGTCTGACTGGGCGAGGTTCGGCCGTGGGAGCGAGCGGTACGCGTTTTTGTGTGCGGTGCAGTTGTGGTCCAACATATTAGCACCCCTGGTGGGGCAGGAGACATGTTGGTAGTATTTGGGGTAAATGGACCTTAGGCTTGCTTTGTTGAAGTCCCCAGCAATGATAACCAGACCGTCGGGGTGTGTGTTTTCGCAGTCCGTAATGAGGCGGTATAGTTCCTTAAGTGCGGTGCTGGTGTTTGCTTGCGGGGGGATGTAAACAGCCGCCATGTGCACAGCTGTAAACTCCCTAGGCAGGTAAAACGGCCGGCACTTGATGATCAGACACTCCAGGTCCGGAGAACAGCTTTGTGAGATAACTTCCACATCCGTACACCATGCGTTGTTGATGAGGAAGCATACCCCGCCACCTCTCTTTTTCCCGGAGGAGACCGACCGATCAGCGCGGTAGATAGAGAAGCCGTCTGGCTGGACAGCCGAATCCGGTGTGCAGGCGGTGAGCCATGTTTCTGTTAGGCAGAAAACACAACAACCACGCAGATCTCGCTGAAGACGAAGTCTACCACGGAGATCGTCCAGTTTGTTGTCCAGAGGCTGGACATTAGCCAGGAAAATGCTAGGCAGTGAAAGTCGTAGTCCACGGCGTTTCGCCCTCGCTTGGATCCCGCCACGCCGTCCGCGTTTTCTCCTCCGCGTCCGCCGGGCATGATCGGGTGAGTCACGTCCGCCACCTTGGTTACGAGTTATTGTGGCGAGCAGCCCCTGGTCGATAACTTCAAAAGTCGCGACTTGTGCATTTGTTGCTCCTATGTGTATCAGTGTTGAACGGTCATACTTGATGAAACAGCGAACAGGCAGTACAAACAGGGACAATAACAAAAATACAGACACAAAAACGAAAAGTCTACTTGGAGCAGCACGCAACACGTCACCTCTCTCCGGCGCCATCTTAACTTGGATGTATGTCATGTACCAGGAATTAAATGCAAAAATGGCTAATGAACTGGCTATGATAAAGCACATTCAGGGGGTGGGTGTCTGACCAAACTGGTTTCCAATCAGCAATACTACTCAGCCCTGTGTGTGTGAAGTCAGGTAAGCGACTGTTGTAGTTCATTTTTCACTCCTGTTAGCAATATGGCCACAACATATTCATTTAAGGGACATAAAATGTCAAAATTTGGTGAAATACCACCAGTAACAAAGGATTTATCTCATATGACAAAACATGAAGGTTTTTTAAAACTCGTTTTAACCACAAACGTTTCCATTCACTTTTCTAATAGGATTTTTGCAGAGGGAACCAGATGTTCGAAAATACTAACAAGCCGCCTAGATAACGACGACATGAATTGTGCCCTCTACACTGGGGTAAACTCCACACAGGAAGGACCCGGGATTGAACCCAGGACCTTCTTGCTGTGAGGCAGCCGTGCTAACCACTGCCCCTTAGCAAATTCATAATAACTGTAATTATAACAATTATTATAATCACAAAGTTATTATTATGAAACATGTTCATATTGTCTAGATATATTTTGTACAAAAAAAATAAAAAAAGATTTCCAAACAAGCTTTTGTTAAGGCAGCGGTAAGATCCCCTCAACCATTAGGGTAATGCACACAGCACTAGCTGCAGAAGTGTACGTGACTGGTGAGAGAGGGAAGGTCTGCACAAAGCCAAACAGTTTTATTGATTATAAATGGGTTTATTTTAAGTCAGTTGCTAAAACCTGCCATTGGAAACGAAAAAAAAAAACATACTGTTGACGCCATTTAGTTGAACTTAGAGAAGAATTATTGGATGGATCCGTTTATTTAATTTTATTTTTGGTTTTGATTACACTCCTTTTTGTGCATAGACTATGAGAGGTTTATACCAAGACGGTGAGCCACCCAGTTGCTAGGAATGAATGAAATAGCCACAAAAATCTCTTCTTCTGTGAGAATTCTTGAAAATTCCAAAGAACACCCACCGGTGTGGTAGGAACTAAATCGTTGTATTTTTTTTTGGCATCAGGACTATCGTCTGACTATATTTTTTTGTCTGACTTGATTGCTTTTTGGGATTTGTGGACTCTGAATCAGATTTAGTAGAAACAGTATAGTAGTGAGCAATTGCCTTGTATTTTAAGTTAATTTACCACTGCTTGATAGTTAAATCTTGTGACACTAATTATATTGCTTGATCAATGTGATTTTCTGTATGATCTGTAAAGGGTATATTCTTTGTTTGCTTGTGGTACTGCATTGAATTGCAGAGGGATGTTTTTTCTTGCTTGTGGTATGGCATACTTGCCATTTAATTAAATAGAACTAGTTTTACAGTGTCGTTCTGTGACAGTTTAAGTTAACTTAATGCAAATTAAAATAAACCTTAGCTTGATATAATATTTAAATCTGTTGAGTTCAATTAATATTAGCACCTAATAAATATTTGGCATTCTCTGTTCATATTAATTTTGGTTAATAAATTTGGTTAATAATCCTTTTGCTTTGTTGCTTACCCAATACTTATTGTAATTGGAATATCTACAAATTAAAAAATATCTTGACTGAAATTCACCTCTGGTCTCTGATCTCATTATTACTGTCATATACACCACTCCCACGAACCTAGCCTACTGTAATGCCAGTACAGGGTTACATAAATGTAAGGAAAAACATGGAAGGTGTAGGTAATAGTGTGGATTGCAGAACAGTGTCACATTACTGGTGAAAGTCATGGTATATAGAGAGTTTGACAGCCCCTCCACTCACCTGTTGTTTGAGTTGGTGCACCAGCCTATCCTTCTCCCTTTTCAGGGCCATCACCTCCTCCTGTGTCTTCTTCCTGTTGGAGGTAGACAGCTCCAGCAGGGCAATGTTGGCATCTTTCTCACTGATGGCCGCCAGAAGGGCTTGTTGCCTGTTGAGGCCAGGGTAATGATTTGCGAGTTTATGATCTGAACAAGTTGGCACAGTGAAACACTAGCGAGACAACTGCATGACTGCAGAAACACTGCAAGTAATGATTATGAGAAAAAGGAGGGATAGAAAATAGAAGAAACTTACTTCATTTCCAGGATCTCCTCCAGCTGCTTCCTGCGTTCCTGCCTCAGGTTAGTCAGGTGACTGTCCCGCTCAGCGAGAGACTGCTGCGTGGAGCTCAGCCTCTGCTTCGTTGAATCCAGCTCCTGCCTGGTCTTCTCAAGTGTGGCTGCAAGCTCTTCCAGCTTTTTAGAGCATTGCCATTAGCTACTGCGCATGCAGTGTATTTATACCACTACTACATACACACTACACTACCTTGCCAATATCTATAGGGCCACTATCTACATTACCACATAACTAATCATACCATACCTTTACATTTTGTGAGCTGTCTGGCAGATTGTCCTTGCGGGCCACTTGCATGAGCTGTGCATTGCTCTTCTTTTCCTCCTGCTGGTTGTGCTTAAGGTTGGGCCCTTTCTTTGTTTGGTCCTTCACTGTTCTGCTCAAACAAGGAATCAAATGCTGTCTGTTAAGGCTCTGGAAAGATTATTCAAAGAAAAATAAATACAGATCTTTGCAGGGACAGTGTGGACACAGAATCTATATACTCAGACAATATACATGCACAGAGAATATATAGGAACAATAACAATTATAGAAATTTCAGAATTGTTATGAAAAATATTACAGAATGGTAACACTCTGGGTTGCAGAAGTTTGCCTTTTTCTTAATTCCATTTTTATTCCACTAACAGGGTGAATATAACAAAGGGAAAGGCTGTAAGAGCCCTACTAACCTTGGAGCCAGACTGTATTTCAGCAAAAGAGGAGTGAAGCAGAGAAGAGAAACAAGGAATAGAAACAAACACATAAACCAATAAGCCAATTACCATACATCCCTGTAGTCATAAGAGGCAGAAAGGGAAGAGCATTTGATGATAACCAGTGCCTAATACCCTTCTGTATGCATTCCCAAGCTTGGGCAGAACGGGAAGGTACGGGGGCCGGTTCCTGTGACTGAACATGCAGCGGGGACGGCAGCCTCCAGTGTGGGGCATGCAGTCACTCTGGGACACCAGCAGCAGAAACAGCTCCCTCATGTGACTGGAGGAGCAAATGCCTCCATAGAACCTCAAGCACCGCATAAACTGTGTGGAAAGGCCAACAGGCTGAGCTTTATGCCCTTAAAAGCAGGATATCGAGTTGGCAAGACAAAAGCTTCTTAGCACAGGTGGGACATAATGCAAACAGAACTGGGGACAAGGGGAAGATGAAAAAGCAAGTAAAGCAAGTATACATTTTCAGGTTAATGGAAACGAACAGCGCTTGACGTGAAGTATTCACAGACAATGGTTTTGGAGATGAAACCAAGTGAGGGCCATTCAGTGGAGGACTGAAGGAAGGTATGGATGATATGGAATGGAGATGGATAAGGTAAGGGACACAGTCCATGACATGTGAAAACCGGATGAAGAATGATTGGAATGAAGGTGGATAAGGTAAGGGATACAGACCACGACATGTGAAAACAGGATGAAGAATGATTGGAATGCCACAGAGGCAGACACAGATGCAGAAGCATATGAGCAGCAGACAGAAATACAGTTTGCTTTTAGTCAAAAGTGAACATACTTATTGATGCACACATTTTGGAGATGAATATTGAGAAGGTAACCCCAAGTCATGAATGCAGCCACAGATCCCAAAAGAACTATGAAAGCAGTTGTAGATATGGTAACAGAGTAATGTATCCAGAAGCAGTTTTGAAAAAAAGGTATTAATGCCGGTCAAATCAAGAAATACTTATCGAGATCTTAAAAGACTCAAACGTGTAGATGTGTATGTAAAACAGGCACGGGTATACACATAAATGCTATAACAGGCTTCAAAGCGGAAGTAGACACTGGGTAATACAGAGTAAGTGCATGGGTCTAGAGAGAAGATTTATCAGTGAATGCAGGCATAAGTGCAGACTCCAACGGCAACACAATGTAGCACAGAGTCATACATACGGATGTGCATGACATCAGTCGTCAATGTAAATGCAGGAGTAAACACATATTCTGAGAGAGTCATAGATGCAGATCCGGACTTATGCAAATGCAGGTAAACTGTGCAGCCAACTGGATGTGCCAGGGCAGAGCACTCACTTTCCCAAGAAATCCCACATCATCCCCCCTATCTGCTGCGGGGATGCTGACACAGAGGCGTGCCGCTCAGGGGGGGGTCTGCCACTGGAGCGGGGACCGGGGGGTGGGGGACTGGGGTAAAGAACACAGTTAAGTGAGCACACACTAGTAATCAGTTCAGAAGTGTTCAATGGACAATGGCAGAGTGTCCCCTTGTAGGGTATTGAAGCTCTGAGGGTCTTTCATTTCATGTCGTTGACCGTAATTCACTAGTCAATGGGAAATTATTTCTAGATCACTTCTAGGTTAACTCCAAGACCATTAACACCATAAACACCAACTAGGAATCATTAAAAACGTGAGATCCTAACATCTTACACATTTTCCAAAGCCATTCATTCATATTCCTAATGTGTTTCCCCATAAAGCAGGACCTCCAAATCTACTCGAGCTTCAATCATTAACTCCATTTGCCAGTAACATTTCACATTAGTACAAAAATTATGTAAAAATAATAAGCTCTTGAACTACAGTGGTACCTCGGTTCTCGAACTCACTAGAACTCGAATTTCTTGAAAGTCGAACAAACCAGTTTGACCTAGAACTCAATCTGAATATCAGAAGTCGAACCGTGAACGCTGACCTAATATAAATTGTACGCGCCAGGAAATGAGTCATATTACAATGCAATTCTTACTTGAATGCCTTCTTCACAGACTGGACGATTAACCAAATAAAGCA